TAGTTTGCAAAGATTCCACCGACTCTTACGCGTAAACTGGAGCTGTACATATCTATATATATATATATATATATGTATAGGGGTGTGTGTGTGTGTGTGTGTATATATATAAATATCGAAAGGAAACTTCCTAATGCATATAAAACTTGGGATTTTCCCTACTTCAATATTAATCTTATTAACATTTTAGTTCATATTTTACATACGTAGAACTATACTATATTTTTATATTATAAAGTTTAGGAGGTCGGCCATGGCACGATGTCTTGTAGGGCGATGTATAAATTACATTAGTTTGTTTTAAACTTGTCTGTGATTATATATGTATGTATATATATATATATATATATATATACGTGTGTGTGTGTGTGTGTGTATATATATATATAAAAATTATATAAAGAAGAGAATAAAATCTTTGCACTTGCAAACAGAGAAAGAGACTGGCGAGGGATTACGCATGAGAATAATTATTTTCATTTTGGTCTGCACGACCCAATTATAAACAAATTTTATTTTTAATTTTATTATTTTTTTAGAATTCAAGATTTTAAGAGCTGGCAAAAAAAAAAAAACTGGTTCCTACCCCCTGGCTGAATTTATTTATTTATTTTATAATATTTTAAAAAAATTAATTAACAATTTAAAATTAATTAAATTTATAATATCAAATAATTCGGTCGACAAGAACATGCAATTTTTATTTTCTGTAAAAATATATTTATTAATGCATTTAAGTTAATAATTAGTAAGTTAAACAGTGATTAAAATATATAAAATTTATATTTAAACTAAATATATACACGATTTTTTATAAAATAAAATACTTAAACAGCAATTAAACACTAATTATAATTATAATTATAATGCTATATAAATAACTTTCAAATAAAAATACATACGGAAAATATAATATAATATTGAACGAGAGGTTGGGTGCACATAATTAATTATAATCAATTTATTTATTTAATACAGTCTCGATTTTGGCCTTCAGTTTGGATTTAGTGATGTAAACTTAAATTATTATAACTATATGTTATGAGTAATCAATTACCACTTCTAATAAAATAATGACTTTTTACTTATATATGGAAATAAATATATATCGCGTACGCACATATATATATATATATATATTATTTATATGGGCATAATTAATTAAGTTGTAAATTTAATTTATTTATTTTTATTGGGTATCCAAATTAGGAAAGGTCGTCAAGCCAGCTTATAGTGTAAATTAAGTTGTCTTCAATTATTTTGGTCTTAAAAAAAAATATATATATATATATATATAGTGATTAAAAAATAGTTTATTATGAGCATGTCTCTTTACTACAATTGGTTAGTGATAATTAAATTTAATTTAATTTAATTTTTATTGATTTAATTGGGTTGGTAAACAGAAGATTCTTTATTGTTCTTTTATTTTTTAAGTAGAAATTATTCTTCGTAATTAATAATTACATGTGTTAATTTACTACTTAATTAAAAATTTAATTAATAATTGGAAATATGTATATATATAGTTTCAAAATTGTTGGTAATGCGTGGTGGCCTCGTGCAACATTTCTTACTTGAGAATGTTGTGAATGTATATCAACTTATATTAATATATATATATATATATATATATATATACACAACCAATTAATTATACTATTTTAAATATACTTTTTCCAAAAACAATAACCACATATACATATATATATATATATATTTGATAAAATATCTACAAACTTGAGTTTGATGATAGGACCTTACCTTGATCTTTTGGGACTATGAAAAGGTAAACTACTCGTATACACACACAATATATATATATATATATATATAAATTACCATAGTAAATTTTTTTAATTTTACAAGTCTAGTTACACACAATATTAATTGGGTCCATATTACTATAATTAAATTTATAATATAAGACTATTGATCAAAGTATCATTTTTATAAAAAAAAAATTAATTTTTAAACAAAATTAAATTATTAATTCTCGAAAACTCGAGTTCTCGATAATAATTAATTTCATTTTAATCATCATATTAACATAAGAATACTCTTAATTTTGAAGACTTATTGTAATTATTTAAAAATGATAACTACACTAATTATATATATATATATATATATATTTTGGAGGAAATCATTCCATCAATAGTCTTATATTATATGTACATATATAAGTATATATATAAATTAACTAGGATATGTATACATACATGACATATTATAAAGTTTAAGAATTAATTAATTATAAAACGAATTGCCACATAAATTAATGTCTTTAGGGTGGAAAAAAGAGAGAATTTGAGACTTGTTTACTTCAGCAAAAACATTCTATTGTGGAAGAATAAATAAATAAATAAATGACAGAGTAGCATATCTCTAAAAACAGACTGGAAAATATTATCAAAGAGTTGAAATATATACTATATACATATTACTAATATAATCTTTATATATATATATAGTGTGTGTGTGTGTGTGGGTATGTGTATATATATATATATATATATATATATATATATATATGTTTTATGGTTCTTATGAAACTTGGGATTGTTATGTGCACTCCACTTTGTTAGTGACAAGGACATTAGTAATTCCTTAATTGGGATGTCAAAATACTATATGGTGTAGAAATAGTCTTACATCATTTCAGGAAACCTTTATAAATTTAAGCATTTATAGAATTTAAAATCATATTATATATATATATATATATACTAATAAGAATTTATGTATTTTATTTATAAATAATATTTATATATAAATTTATAACAAAAACACACATAACATATAAGATTGTACAATCTAACTCAAATTCATTATTTTGTGTAGCAAAAATGGAGTGTTAATTAATATTGAGACTAAATATTTTTTGGGCATGATTTAAATTGGGAATGGGTTCATTGAAATCATAGAACCAGCCCAATATATATATATATATATATATATATAATGTGTGTGTGTGTGTGTGTATGCATATTATTATAAGCTACCAATATAGTAGTTCATAAAGCCGGCCCAATTTGTTCACACTTGCCTCTCCCTAGACTGTTTATACATTATGTGTGAATTTACCTATTAAATATATACAAATTAATTATAAAAATATAAGTATGTTGTGAATTAAATTGTTTGAAACATGTTCTTGATTCATTTATAACCCTATAATTTTAGGTTTAGAATTTCATGACATTATAAATAAAGTTGTACATATATATATACATATATATGTCGACTAACATTTAATTCGTACAATTTTAAATATTGTAAGATTTTATAAAAATTTAACGAAAAAAATTAAATATTCAAAAATATGTAAGAGAGAAATGAGTAACCAAAGTAGGAAGATCGAAGAGCTTGAAAACTCTAATTGCTTGATATTTGATTCAAAATAATTCTCGATACTTCTCAAAATCAGAAAATAGACGTATATAAAATCTACTTCTTATAATTAGAAAAAAATATTTATATATTTACGATAAAAATGGTACACGTATATAAAATATAAAGTGAACCTCAAACTTTTTTTTAAACATGTTTTATTTTTTCAATTTAACCCGAAAAAAAAAAAAGTATGATTTTCTCAATAAATATATATATATAATATTATAAAGAGAATTTCTTAAATTTATTTCATTGAAAAATTCGTTTTGAATATATAAATGTATGACATTTAAGTTTAGCTCATATACTCTCTATTATATATTATACAAATATATTAATAATATAAATGATTGGTTGACTTAAAATTGATGGATTTGTTTTAATTATTAATTAATTAAAAAAACATTTGACTCGAAAGCGAAGAGATCCGATTAATTAATTTTAATATTATTTTATTAGTTGAGTTTTTAGGTCAACAATATACAAATGGGTGCTGTTGACTTCCCATGATTTCAACATTTTTTAAATAATAAAAATAAACAAAAAATATAAAGTCAAAAGTCTTACGGAGCCTGAATAAATAAAATCCGTTGACCGGAAAATTTCAAAATCAATATTTTATATTTTCAAAGTTCAATGGGTTTATTAGTTTTTTTTTTTTCATTTTGTCACGTAGAGAATTTTTAACATTATTTGCTCATGATTCCTAATGAAAATTAAGACCAATGTTTACATATATATATATATATGTATATTATACTGGAATTTAAATTCGTTGACATACACGTGTGTCTACGCGAATGCATATATTATATATATATATATATATATATAATAGGAATTTATTAGAACTAGAACATATTATTTAATTAATAATTATTATTTTTTAATATTTTTAATTAATTTTTGATAATAAATTCATTTTTTACATATTAAATATCATGTAAATTTTTCATGAAAAATGAGATAAAGTATAGTAGTTATTTTTTTTATATTTTTATTTATATTACTTGTTACATAATTCTTCTAAAACTACATCATGTACGTAGCATAGACTGAAAATTTTAATTATAAATTACAATTATAATCATAAGCATGTATTAACCCATATACATATATATATATATATGGATATAGATATTGCTGGATTTTGGCTGTCAATTTGAACGTACATTTCCAGTTAATTTAATATTATATTTTGATTTCTTTTATGAATAATTAAATTTTAAGTGTAACATTTAACTAGTAATTAGAGAGACTAGAGATTAATTTAACAATGTAATCGATCTTTGGAAATATAACATATGTCATCAAATAATTAACTATATAAATATAATATATATATATGTATATAAACAAGTATAATAATAAAATTCTGCCAACTACATATTTTCCTATTACTATTAGATGGATAGATTTAAAAATATATAAAACTTCTTCTTGAAACTTATATTTTCTAAGCCTATCAACAATAATTTATTTCAAGAAAAACTTAGAACTCAAAACAAATCTATGCTTCCAAGATATGCTGCTCAATCATTTCAGAGAACAGCATTTTCGTTTGACTCTTCATCTCATCAATATACTTTGTTCGCATGCAAAAGTTCACGAAATGAAATTATGATAAAACCTTTTGCCTTTTCAATTGATTCTTTGACGAAAATTAAAACAGACACTTACGTACGAAAAGAGAGTTGTTTCAAACCATCTACGCTCGTGCAGTATCTAAACTTGCATCGCCGCGCCCCCCCCCCCAAAAAATAAACAAACTGTTATCTACTTGCGTATTTCTCTGGAAATCGGCAGGTGGTTGACACTAAGAAGGATCAAAGTTATCATAGTGCACCAAAAGCAGAGCAGCAAATGATGAAAGTGACCAGCATTGACAAGCAAGTACTTTTAAGTGAGACCTATGTTCCATCACAAACATTAACGATGGTTACTGCTGCTCGTTACCAGGCAGACCTTCTTCAGTTACCCGTTGTGCAAGTCTATAATAAAGAATTCCCATAGTTGCCATGCATGCCCTGTGAAGGAAAACAAATAACAAAAAGAATTTGATTAGGTGATCATGAAGATCAAGCAATCGAAATTAATCATTCATCTGAATGAGTTTTATACTGAAGTTGTTTTCACTTTCGGGATCAGTATTAGAACAAAACAGAAACTGCCTAAGTTCCAATAAGTAGAACTTTGAGTTGAACCAAAACTAAATCACTCAACAATTACTCTGGCTGTAAGAGAACGGGGACTTCTCTGATTTTCCAATTTCATCCTAAGTGGTCTCAGTATTGAATAAGACAAATGGCATAAATTAAATGGCACTAAACATGAAGACATGCACATGCATTTGCATCCATAAGAAGCAGATCCTTACATGATTGCAATAAAAAGGAGAATTTTCCTTGGATCCATCCTTGAGGATCTTTGATGCCGACGAACCTCTGTAACATCATCTGTATTTGATGCATCTTTACGTGGGGGTGCAGTCACTGGTAGAGTTGGTAATGCACTTGACCAGAAAGGAAGCAATGCTCGCAGAAACTTATGACGGAGTGGACCTGAAATTGTATCATGATGAATTTTTTACTAGAAAATGAGAAGAATGTTCTAATTATAAATAAAGAGCTAGGCAGTAAACATGTGAAAAGGATTTGGGTACATAAGTTCGATCTAGAATCATCCAAGTATATCATCTATTCTGTTTTTTTTTTCTAAGTCCCGCTTGACGAAGAAGTTTCAAGAGTCATGACCATATTTGAATGTGAGCCCCACATGATTATGGCAGCATGAAGGGTCCATTTAACATAGGGCAACAAATATTGGAAACAAGAAAAAATTGATCTTCCATTTACCTCTTCGAGTGTATTTCTTACGATTCCCATCTTCATCATCCGCATAATATGAAATTTCAGAGTTTTGCCGTTCGACCGTGGATATAGTCTTTCTTGTCGTAGCAATTGGCTGGGTAAGACGCAATATCAAAGCAGAACTATTAAACAGACAGGAAGAGAAACTAGTTCCTAGTTGAATGGACATACCTACATCAGCAGGTGGCAGAGAATATATAACTCGAGATATTATATCCTAAAGTTAACTACTAATGACAATATCTCTTACAGCAGGACTGGAGCTTTTCATGTAACTCCCGGCTGAACTAGGACCATCTATCTCCATAATTTCTGTTGTTGTATGTTCTGAAGGTCCTCCATTTGAAATTGCGTATCCTTCGTTGATAGTTGGTGCATCCTTTGCACCAGAAGTTGATGATAAATCATACTCCCTAACTCCACTAGAAGATACATTTACTAGTGGATCTGAAGCAAATGCTGGGGGAGGAGGACCGCGGGACTCTACTTTGGTTAAAGAAACTGGATGATTCCCAAACAAATTCTTCTCCAGACCGGTCTGCATTAACAAAATTTTTAGAAACTCTAATATAATGAATTTCGAGAAAGTCAACCTCATAAACTGAAAATTTGTTTAAGCAGTTTCTCTTTGCATAATGTGAGCAATTTTTTCTCATAAAGTAAACTCAAAGACGAAGATGCATTTAATTTAACCTAACTAGTTATAAAAGACATGACTAACATGAACTACAACAGTAAAAACAATCAAACATACAAGACCATAAGATCCCATGTACAAATGTTCACAAATCTTCAGCATATCATACAGATGAAATATCAGAGGATAAGAAGTGAGTCAACTGACTGCATGCATATTTCAGAACCCAGAACTATGCTGCATTTTAGTGGGCAAAACTTCGACTATATTCAGAGTTTGAATCTTAAGTAGATAAACAGGTGTTTTTCCCCGAACAAGTCCCTTAACAATGCAGTTATTTTCCCTAGTTTAGGGTCTTGTTATGGGATCAAGTAGTAGTGGCTCACTAGGGAGAAAGAAGGATCTCCGAAGTTTGAAAGACCCAGTAAACACTTATAAACAAAACAGTAGTGCATCATCGGCAAAGAATAAGTGAGTCATTTCTAACTCTTCACCAGTCCTCCCCACCTTCACCCCCTTATAAAGATTCAACTCCCGAGCTCTGATGAGTAGTTATTTTAATACTTCCATAACTAGTAGGAATGGCAATGGAGAGAATAGATCGCCCTATCTTACACCTCTAGAAGCCTGAAAAAGTCTGATGGTCCCCCATTCACTACAACTGAAAAGGAAGAGGTGGTGATAAAAGTCCTAATCCAGGTTCGCCTTTTATTTCCGAAGCTCATTCTCTCCATCATATTATACAGAAAACTCCAAGTTACGTGGTTGTAAGCTTTCTCCATATCAAGCTTGCATAAAACCCCTCAATTTCTCTTCGTCAACAAGTTGTTCATAACCTCATTAGCTATTAAGGCCACATCAAGAACCTATCTTCTCCCTCCGCGCCCCGCCCCTCTCTCTCTCTCTCTCTCTCTCTCTCTCTCTAAAGGACAGTGTGTTGGCAATCTCCTCGCCAGGACTTAAGCAACTAATTTTTTACACCACCCAACGGCTAACAGGCCATAAACCGCCATAAACCTCTGATATTTGACACCTTGGATTTTGGAATCAATACTAGAAAACTTGAGTTTAGGCTTCTCATAAAAGATCCTAAAGCATGGAATTCACCAAAAGTGGCACTTAGGACACTCTTCAAAATGTACCAGTGCTGTTGAAAAAATCTCATGTAGAAACCATTTGGCTTGGAGACTTTTCCCCTTTACAACTCATGGTAACCTCAATAATTTTCTCCTAAGAAAAAGCTGGTTCAAGGAACATGAAATCTTGATTACTTAGCCTACTGAAACTCAACCCATCAAGAGTACCTCCATGGTTCCACCTCTCTATACAAGCCTTCAGAAAAAGACTTCACACCCTCCCTCTGCTCCTCATTCCCTTTCCTCAAACAATCCCCCACTTCTGGCTCCTCTATGTAATTGCATTTCCAAAGTTATTACCCAAAATTGAAAGCATTTGATATTTTTTATTACCTTAGTCCATTT